TACACTAGCAGTGAACAATATGGAAAGTAAATTAAGAAAACGCTTTGTTTTACAGTAGGATTAAAAAGAATAAAATACTTGGGAATAAATCTAACCAGGAAGACACTTCTACCCTGAAAAGTACAAAACACTGCTGAAAAAAATCAAAACCTAAATGGGATGATATCCATGTTCATTTGAGACTTAGTATTGTTAAGATGACATCACCGAAACAATCTACAGATTCAGTGCAATTCTTATAAAAATGCTGATAGTATTTTTTGCAGAAATAGAAAAACCCAGCCTAAAGTTTACATATACTTTCAAGGGATCCTGAAAAGCCAAAGCAATCTTGAAAAAGAAAAAACTTAGCTTGAGGACTTACACTTCCTGATTTTAAAACTTAGTAAAATGTTAGAGTAATCCAAACAGTGTGTATAGGTGAAAGGACAGACGTACAGACCAATGGAGTAGACTGTAAAGAGCCTGGAAGTAAACCTTCCCGTAGACAGTCAGTTGATTTTCAACAGGAGCATGAAGACAACTTAGTGGGGGAAAGGAAAGTCTTTCAAGCAGATTGTGCTGGGAAAGCTGGATGTCCACATCCAGAAGCATGAAGGTGGACCCTTACACCATATACAAAAGGAAGTCAAAATGGAACCCTAAATGTAAGGACTGAAACTGTAAAACTTTAAGACGAAAACATAGAGGAGAATCATCATGATGTTGGATTCAGCAGTGATTCCTTGGAATTGATACCAAAAGCACAGGCAGCAAAAGGAGTAATAGGTAAACTGGACTTCATCAAAATGAAAATCTTCTCTGTATCAAAGATCACTACCAACAGAGTGAAAAGGTAATGTGCAAGATGGGAGAAAATATTTGCAGATCATTTATTTGATAAGTGATTGATGTCCAGAGAGTATAAAGGACTTCTACAACTTAGCAGCAAACAAAGGACTTAAGGACATGTTTCTCCAGAGAAGATATCCAGATGGCCAGTGTTTGTTTGTGAAACAATGCTCAACATCATTAGTCATTAGAGAAATGCAGATCAAACCCACAGTGAGGTACCACTTCATACCCATTAGGATGGCTGTCATCAAAAAAGAAAAGGGAGATAACAAGTGTTGATGAGGATGTGGCGAGATCAGAGCCCTCTTGCAATCCTGGTGGGAATGTAAGATAGGTCAGCCACTGTGGAATAGTTTGATGGTTCTTTATAATAAAAAGTTAAACAAAGTTACCATACGATCTAGAAAGTCTATTCCTAAATACATACCCAAAAGAATCAAAGCAAGGACTCAACTAGATCCTGATACACCAGTGTTCACAGCAGCATTATTCATAGTAGCCCAAAGGTGAGAACAACCCATGTGTCCATCAACAGATAAATGAATAAAGAAAATGCGATACATATGTATAATGGAATATTGTTGGGCCATATAAAGAGATGAAATTCTGATAAATGCTGCAATGTAGATGAATATTGAAAACAGCATGTTGGGTCAAGTGAGCCAGACACAGGACAGATACCGGTATGAATGGGCAGACATCGGAATTAAAGTTACAAGGGGCTGAGGGAGAACGCAGTGGGGAGTGGTTACTGCTTAATGGTTCCAGATTTTATGTATTGAGAGATGAAAGCATTTGGAAATAGGCAGTAGTGATGGTTCCACAAGATAGTGCCTTAGCGCCAGCATAGGACTTAGCGTTACTCAACTGTACACTTAAAAATGTTAACATGATAATAATGATGATGATGGAAGGCAATTGTGATGTAGTTTTTATACCTTAATGCTCAAAGTAGGGTTCATATAGGGACTAAAGGAGGTAGTTGTGGTCTCTCTTAACCTTGAATCAATGCTTGTGTGTTTATAGGGTTGATGCCTCTGGGAAGTCAGGAGTCTTCAGACAGTCTTGCAGCAGAGATCGTCACCCCAGAAATCAGGTAAGGAGATGGTGAAGTCCAGTCACACTTCACAGTATTGTTGTAGAAAACTTACTCCTCTGTGATATAGAGGACCAGTTACTTACTCTTTATCACTAACGCTTTCAACCTGAACTCAAGGTTCTGCGTCCTTCATTTCTGCACGTTAGAGACCTTCTCAGCTGATCATGCAGAGGCTTGGTTTCTCTCTTGGGGAGGACGGGGTCTCACACATACACAGCAGATGAACACATCTCTGCTTGGGTAGCCGCAGCAGACATTTAGCCATGAAACCACTTGGTCCAAAGACAAAGGTTATGCTTAGCCATCAGCCTGCAAAATACTTAGTCGCCAAGATTTATTACCTAAGTGCGGGGGATGGTCTGGGGAAGACAGAAGCAGAGACAGGAGGAAACATCGCCCTATCTCTATTGCTCTTCCCTCAGTAGTTCCTTACATTTGTATTTTAAATATTCCATTTATTTTAGTGTATGCCTGGCTTTATGCATAAGAATGAATAATTGATTGGAAAGCATCAACTGTCCAGCAAAAGGTTAATGATTAATCCTGAATATTGCTTTTACTTTATTTGGGCTGGTTTGCCCCCTTTTTAAGTCGACACCAGGTCTTGATTCTTGATAGCATCCTTGGAGGTATTTGCTAAAATAACAGTTATGTATGTAAAAGTTTTATAAACTGTGAAAGTTGCCATAGGCATTCAAACACTTGTTGAATAAATGAAGACAATATTTATTATTGTTAGCATTTGTTTAAGGACAGAAGGTGTGTGATGCAACACCAATTCTGGAAGCATCTTGAATACCTTTTACTTTTTTGCCATCTGATATGGTACTTTATTATTGGACCAATAAAATTTGTTTCACAAATAAATACTTATTTTTTGAATGTTTATAAATAAGTACATGCTGCATGCTAAGTCACTTCAGTCCTGTCCGATTCTGCAACCCTATGGACTGTAGCCCACCAGGCTCCTCTGACCATGGGATTCTCTAGGCAAGAATACTGCAGTGGGTTGCCATTTCCTTCTCCAGATCTTCCCGACCCAGGGATGAAACCTGCGTCTCCTACATTGGCAGGCAGGCTCTTTATCAGTAGTGCCACCTGGGAAGACCCTGTAAATAAATGATTATGTCTGAAAATAAAATTTTAAGGAAGCTTATAGGTAATGAAGTCGGATTTTTTAATTGAGAGAAAAGAACAATGATGAAAATTCAACAAATAGCTTTTATAGAGTATTACTCAGTACAAATTAAAATACACTGAGTGTCTACAAGAGCTACCAAGGTGAAACAGTGCAAGGGGTGAAACTTCTCAACACATTAATAGACCAGTATTGACATAGGTCAGCATTCTTGATACATAGTGAGATTGTCTTTCACAGTTTGCAAAAATCTATTAAAAGTGATAATTTTCACTAATGTTAAGGGTGTGGAAAAGTTAGAAACCTCATAAACTAAAGAGATACAATTTTTTAATTGAGATATAATTGACTACTTTGTACAACATAATGGTTTGATATGTGTATATGTTGTGAAATGATCGCCATAGTAAGTTCAGTTTGTATCCATCGCCACAAAGAACTACAAAAAAAATTTTTTTTTCTTGTGGTTATATAGCTTTTCTTTTGAGCAGTTTGGCAGAATGTGTAAATGTTTAAATCAGAAAGGAAATGGGATTTTGAAACCTCATTCATTACACATCATGATGTTTGGAGATTGTTTATCTTCAGACTGTCAATTCTATTATAAAAAGAAAGGGCTTCAGGTTGAATGCATGAGACAAGTGCTCGGGCCTGGTGCACTGGGAAGACCCAGAGGGAAGCCACTCCACTCACCCTGATCTGATCCCTTTAAACATAGATCTGAGCTGTAGGGTGCAAGTGAGAGTGTTTTCCTCTGTTTCATATCACGAGTACTTTTTTCCACTTACGGGCAGATATGCCCAAAAGGGCTGTGTCTCTGTGATAGCGGCCTCATCTTCACTTCTTCAGGCAAAATGATAGGAAAGTCCTGCCATTTCCCCTTCCTAATCACTAATTAAAACTAGAAGCTTAAATAGCCTGCCAATGCAGGAGACACGGGTTTGATCCCTGGTCCAGGAAGCCCCCACGTGCCAAGGAGCAACGCAGCCCATGCACCACACCTCCTGAGCCCGTGCTCTAGGGCCCTGGGGACACAGCTCCCGAAGCCCAAACACCCTGGAGCAACAAGAGAAGGCTCAGCGTTGAGAGAGAAGCCCACTCACCACAGCTGGAGAAAGCCCGCACGCAGCAGTGAAGACCCAGCGCAGCCAAAGGCAAAATTAATTACTCAGAAATAAACAAAATCATTAAAAAAAAACCTAGAGGATAAAATCACGTCACCATTAATTGACAGTCTTTGGAGACACTTTTACTTCATCGTCATGATCAGATTCATCAGTTTGCCCTGTGTAGACAAGCTGATGTTTCAAAGAATCAGTTGGTGTAAGGAACACAGTGGGATCCCTCGTAACTGAATTGATAGAGCTTTCTTTTTTTAATCTGTTAATTCTTGCTACTCTAGTTGGAAATCATCCATCTTATGAATAATCCAATTATTTTGAGAATTTAGTATCTGCAAATCTAATAAGCATATCACTTTGCTGCTTGTAAGTTCTCAGAGTGTTGCAGTAGGCAGTCATTCCAACTGCTTTTAAAAGCAGTTCTTACTCGGGCAAGGATTACTTTTATATTTTGTTGTGACAATCTTCTGATTCTTTTCCTTTTTGGAACCGTTTCTTAGATCCCAAACATATGGTGTCTTTTCTTTCTCTTAGAGCTGTGATATTCTGTCATTTTTTGAGGGATTTGACATTTTTTATAAATAGTTTCACAGTTGATGTGATATTACAGATTCTTTGCTTATTATGCCTGATAGATTTGGCATTTTCCAGGTATGAGTCAGTCGTGAGAGTCAAAATTGTTATGACAGTTTTACATACTCCACCTTTCCTCCTGTGACTTTAATTTTTAAACCTGCTGAGGGAGAGTCAGCAAACAGTGTATATCACAGGGTGAGGTATTAGAGCGTAATTGAATATAAACATAAGAAAGACATTTGCATATCAACTCTTAGGAGCATAGAGTACTTTATTTTTAAAAATACTTAGAAAAAGTGGGAAAAGAGAAAGGAGAGGAATAAGAACAGTGGAAAATAGGTGGCAATCATGCAGAGCCCAGCTGAGAGCATCTTGAATTACCCCTCCATCCTCGGCCTCCTCTAAATCTTAGCATCTTAGTCGGGAGAACCTTCTCCCGACACTGATTTCTTGTCAGTGAATCAACACCTACTACACCTTCTGTAACACTTTGCCATGTCTTTCACAGGCCTTACTACAGCTTTTGCCCTTTTCTCCTTAAAAACAGAACGGCTAGCTGTCATTCGTATTACAGCACCTGTACATACAGATGACTGGTTACCTCCCAAGTGCCTGTTATTTGGTTTATCAGATTGCAACACCAATAACTTACCTGTATATCATAGCCATCTGTGGGTTTTATGACCTGCCACAGTAATAATAATAATAGTAGCTAATAACTGAATTGATAGAGCTTTCTTTTTTTAATCTGTTAATTCTTGCTACTCTAGTTGGAAATCATCCATCTTATGAATAATCCAATTATTTTGAGAATTTAGTATCTGCAAATCTAATAAGCATATCACTTTGCTGCTTGTAAGTTCTCAGAGTGTTGCAGTAGGCAGTCATTCCAACTGCTTTTAAAAGCAGTTCTTACTCGGGCAAGGATTACTTTTATATTTTGTTGTGACAATCTTCTGATTCTTTTCCTTTTTGGAACCGTTTCTTAGATCCCAAACATATGGTGTCTTTTCTTTCTCTTAGAGCTGTGATATTCTGTCATTTTTTGAGGGATTTGACATTTTTTATAAATAGTTTCACAGTTGATGTGATATTACAGATTCTTTGCTTATTATGCCTGATAGATTTGGCATTTTCCAGGTATGAGTCAGTCGTGAGAGTCAAAATTGTTATGACAGTTTTACATACTCCACCTTTCCTCCTGTGACTTTAATTTTTAAACCTGCTGAGGGAGAGTCAGCAAACAGTGTATATCACAGGGTGAGGTATTAGAGCGTAATTGAATATAAACATAAGAAAGACATTTGCATATCAACTCTTAGGAGCATAGAGTACTTTATTTTTAAAAATACTTAGAAAAAGTGGGAAAAGAGAAAGGAGAGGAATAAGAACAGTGGAAAATAGGTGGCAATCATGCAGAGCCCAGCTGAGAGCATCTTGAATTACCCCTCCATCCTCGGCCTCCTCTAAATCTTAGCATCTTAGTCGGGAGAACCTTCTCCCGACACTGATTTCTTGTCAGTGAATCAACACCTACTACACCTTCTGTAACACTTTGCCATGTCTTTCACAGGCCTTACTACAGCTTTTGCCCTTTTCTCCTTAAAAACAGAACGGCTAGCTGTCATTCGTATTACAGCACCTGTACATACAGATGACTGGTTACCTCCCAAGTGCCTGTTATTTGGTTTATCAGATTGCAACACCAATAACTTACCTGTATATCATAGCCATCTGTGGGTTTTATGACCTGCCACAGTAATAATAATAATAGCAGCTAGCATTTATTAAGCCACTCTTTGTTCCAAACACTGTGCTGAGTGTTTTGAACATGTGGTCTTACTTTATTAAAGTTTTGCAGATGGAGGAATTTGGACTGAGACCCAGGCCACCTGACTTCAGAGCCTCTCGTCAACCAGTTTATCTTCTGCCACATTTGTAAAACATTTTCTTTGACGTCTTCCGCTCACTGGATGCTTTTCCTCTTAGGTGAATTATCATGTGTTGTCTTACTGAGTTTAGTAAGTACGCACATTACCTGGTCTCTGCCTTAACCTCCTAGTGGTTGACAGCCCTGGACTCACATCAAGCAAGCAGAGTTTCAGTCTCACTGAGTCTTGGAGCTGTATGACCATAAATCCAATTTGCTCACAACGTACCTCACCTTAGAAGGAGAGCTCAGCCTCCAAAGTCCCTTCCAGTTAGTTTTGCAATAAGTTGGCATTTGTTAGAATCCGTGATACCTGCCCACCCTCCAGCAGTATTAGGAGAGGCATGAAGTGTCCACAGTACAGCCACATCAGAATCTCTCTCTCGTGAGGTCGGCATTATAACCCATCACTTCTATTGTCGGTGAACCTTTTCATATATATTTACGTATGTTTTTTAGCTTCATACATGTGTGTACATGCTTGAGCCATACTTTAACCAGTATTTTAGATTGTGTGTGATGACATTTACAATGGCCTCCACTAGTAGTAATATTTGTTGACTAAATAAATTTCAAAAATCGCTAGGATGGAAAGTTGAAATAGTCTTATAGTTTGATGTATTTTCTGTATTGCTTCCTGAGAAGATTAAAGAAAGTTACAGTCAGTAATGTACTTATGTACCTCTGTTCCCATATTGAATATGAATTTTCAGATAATTCTTTCACTGACTGGAAAAGCGATTCCTTCGTGTGAAAAATTACCAATTATTATTATAGGTTTATTATATCTTTACTGTGACTCTCACTAAATTATAGCACCTGGAGGTTTCTAATAAGAATTTCTTGTTGAGTAAAAAGTTTCATGCTGAAATTCTTGGCTGTTTGGATTCTAAATAGTCATTGTCCTGTTTTGTCCTTAATGGGGGGCATCTGACTTTTCCTAAAGTGTTAATGACTAGAACCGCCAGCCCCATGGGAGCATCCTGGGCTTTTCTTCCTCCCCCCTTTACCGTGTTCACTGTTGATCACTTCCCCCTCCTCAGTTCTTCTCAGCTTCAGGAGCAGCCCTCGCTCGCTCCTTCTGAGTCCCTGGTTCCTCTCCAGGGTGAGCCGTCCCTTCCGCCCTCTGCTTGGTGATCTGCTGGGGACCTTGCTGGTCTCTTGCGCACTGGGCCGCACTTAATGGCGGCCACTGTCGTTCATGCTCACGGCTGCAGTCATCGCCAGACGGCCCTCGGGTCTGTAGGGCCCGCTCCGCCCTCCTGCTGGGCGCCAGTTGCAAGGGTCCAGCCGCTGTAACAGGCATTTCCCATCACTTCATTTTCAACAAATACCGGGCAAGTTTCTTCATGTTCTGGCTCAGCCTGTCCTCCTGTGTTCCCTTTCTCAGGAAGTAGTTCTTGGTCGCAGAGAGTCAAATCCTCAGCTGTGTTTTGCTCCTTCTGTTCGTTTGTGGTTTCTGTTCTTCTCCTCCTCGGACCCCTTCTGTTTCAGGGACGCGTGGTCATCACTGCGGTGGCCTCTGCCCGGGCTTCCTGCTTTCCTGCTGCTCTCCGCCTTCCAAAATGATCTCTTTGACTCGCCCGGTACCGTGATCTTTCTGAAATACTGTCGGCTCCTTCAACATCACCCAAGACCCACTAGTCCCCCGACCGTTGCAGCCTAATGATCTAGAGAATTTGTGGAGACTGAGCTCCAGAGTCAGCATTTTTAAAGGCTGGCTGGGCTATTCCCTTGCAACCAAATTTTAGACCTGATTATAGGAAATGGCAACCTGCCGCAGTATTCTTGCTTGGGAAATCCCATGGACAGAGGAGCCTGGTGGGCTACAGTCCATGGGATCACAAAGACTCAATCACAGCTGAGCGACTGAGCATAGGATAAATGAAAACACACTTGAATTTCACACATGGTGGCCCAGCCTCTCCTCTGGTTTCATCTCCAGGCTTCCTTCTCCTCATCACGTAGTCACAGTGTAGAATTCAACCACATCATTCCTGAACTCATCGTACCTGCTCCCTTTCTGTGCCCTGTGGACGTGCTGAATTCTCGGTCCTGAATCCCCTTTCCACCATTAACCACACAGGCATTTTATTTGTTGTTCTGGTCTCAGTTCAGGTGAAGCCTGACTCCTCCACACTCTGAGGTGTGGTCCTCGCTTCTCTGAGCAGTTATCACTCCTCTCGGTACTTCTGTGTGCTGTGTTGAAGTATTTATCTCGTATATTATTTGTTTACATTTTGCCTCCCCAAGTGCAGGTTTTTTGTTTTTGTGTTTTGGCTGCTCCTGGAGACTTGCCCGATCATAGTTCCCTGACCAGGGACTGAACCCAGGTCCCTGGGAGTGAAAGTGCTGAATCCTAACCACCGGACCACCAGGGACATCCCACAAGGATCTTTTACCACTACACTGAGCACTCATTTGAATAAATGTATACTGAAGTGAATTTCAAACGAATATATGTGCATCAGTATACCAGCTCAACGCAATGTGTCTATCAAAAACACTGCATTGGATGTCATCATCGAAATTTCAAGCTATACAAAAAATAATGACAAAAGTGAATTGATACGACTGTAATATGAGACTTTGTTTTGCTCGTTATATGAAAACCTAAGGCAAAAGGTATAAGTTCAGTCAGAACTTGGAATATTAATGTATGTTTTATTTCTAGGCTGGTGAATCAAAGACTCCTGGAAGTACAGTCGCAAGTGGAAGAGCTGCAAAAATCTTTACAAGATCAAGGCTCAAAGGCAGAAGATGTAAGTCTTATTTTATACAGTTATGGTCCAACAGTTTCATAATGTTTAGAAAAGCTATAACATTTTTTTATGGTCTCTATCAAAATAACTCTGATTATATTGGTTATAGAAAAGAAACAATATTTTCCTTTTACTGACAGTCCTTATGAAAAGACCAGACTTTATTGTTTCATTCAGATTCACCCTGCTAGGAATTAGAATTTCATTTGTAGTTTTTAGCTAAGGAATTAGGCTTTTGTGTTCCATACATGCTCAACTCAGTTTTCAGAGTATTGATTTTCCTTCTGGTCAAGAAAAAAAAAAAGTGCTGATAGAATCTTAGCATGTTCAGGTAGCAATGTTTGATATAAAATTTGGCTTTAAGAAAATCATGCCCTTCCTAGAATCCTACCCTCTCCGGGTTCATGAGTCCCTCTTTCTGCCCCTGCCCTTGGCCACACACACACACGCTCAGACAGAAGCTCATTGACCTTTTCCCTCTGCCCCTCTGTCACAGCCCTGCCTGCTCGGCAGGCGCTCGCCGAGGATACAGCAAGCATGTGGAGGCAGAAACATCCCCTCCTTCACCTCCTCCTGCTCCCCGCACATCAAGGTGCTCACGCGGCACGTAGCAGTCAGTCTAACAAAGGCGTGCACCAGTCTCATTTTGCAAATCCTGTACATTTAATAAGCTGTGTACAATAGAGCTACACTTGCAGAGAGCTCAAAACTAACCTGAAGAGGGGATAAAAACTGAATGCTCGTGACCAGTCTTTGCTTCCGTCAGGTGGTGATTTTTTTCCCATTGCCAGCGCAATCCGCTGACTTTTGAGTATAAACCTGTTTGGTTATTCTCATTGTTGGAGTCATTCTGGGCACTCAGCATCAAAACTGTAGACCCATCCAGTTTCATCCAGCCTTAGTAACCTAAGAGGGTATTGCTTAAGGCCTGAGGGTGTGAGATGCGAGAGCTCATCCATGACCTGATGATTTCTTGGGTTTCTTACGCGTGCACCGTTGGGTTACGCTGGCCACGTGCCCTCTGAGGTCACAGGTTGCAGCTTATCCTCTAATGTGTAGTCCTTCTTAGCTCCCCACGTGAATTCCCAGTTCCCCAGATTCTCACCAATGTTTAGACTACCTCATTCCCTTATTAAAATGGAACTAGTTTACTTTTTACACATGCCTTTATCCAGAACGCTAAATGACAAGCAGAGCCAGCATTTGTGTGTGAAAATACTAGTAAACCTCACCAAGAGGGTCTTAGAGGTGAACCAAAGTGACATTTCTTAGTTCAGTGGAACCACCAGGTCCCTTAAACTGAGGTAACCCTAGACTTGGTTTTGGTCTTGGAAACTCTGAGGAGACTTCCTGTTGGTCTGTTACAGCAGAGAGGAGAAGAATGTGTGGGTCACAGGAAGTAAATATGACAAAACATCAGTATCTCCTCAACCTTAGTGTTAGAGCAATAACCGCTATACTTGTTTCTCTAATATTAAAGCACACAGAAAGAGATTTATTCTACAAAAAATAATTTTACATGGCTTGATTAGGTATCACTGTGGGGATGAAATCTAATTAAATACGCTGCGTGTCACTACTTCAAGAGACGACATTTCAGACATGAGTTTCCAACCCTGAAAGTACTATTAGCATAAATGACCCGGTTTATTTGATTGTTCAGTGTTAATGAGATGTTTTGCTATAAATTCCTGAAATTCCTCTCAGAACTCTCCACTCTATAGATTCAAACAGAAGCTTTCCTCACTCTGACCACAGGCTGGAGGGAAATGTGGTCCATGCCATGTGGTTCTTCCCCAGCAGATGTTTCATGCTATTGTCTTCTGTCTCTCACTCAGCCTACAGTGTTGCCTCTCCAAACATGTAATGCATAGAACCACCTGCCAAGTGGGATGGGTCCTCTCTGAAGAACAGCACAATTTCCGCCCATTTCTGTTATCAAAAGCACAGTCGTGTGACCTTAAGGCAGAGTAGCATGGTTTGCACATTTTTATTATTATTTTTATGTCATTTATTTTTAGCGTGGAAGCAGAAAAGCATTGGTTCTATCCAGGCATATGGATAATTTGAGCTAGCCACAGTGTATAAAACTCCAGAGAACAAGACAGGATGAGATCATAGAAGAAAGAAAAATGTACATTTTTTGAACAAAATGCATATCTTTTACTTCTGTTCATGAATTACTAAATCGTTCCTTCTGTTGGCTGCTGTGTATGCTTCGTACTAATGTGTCTTCTCTGTCTCTTGGCATGGTTTCTGCTCAAGGCTATTGTAAGTATGGCTTCCTATTCATTTCTATATATTGAGCAGTGTTTTGATGTATGCATTATCTGCCATCATAGTTGATGTTGTTGAAATTTTAAATTACGGGGCTTCTATGCAAAATGAAGATAACCAAGATTACCTATAGGTTTGTGCCCTTTACAATTCAGATACTTAAAGGATATCAAAAAGCTAACAAGTCAGACTAAAAGGAACTCAGCTCCTTTCTCTCCCCACCGAGCTCCCACCCCAGTGTTGTAATTGGTTTGTCTTTATAAAGTGTTTTGACACGAGCTTGCTGCCACGGTCTGGCCGCCTCCTGCCACACTTTATGAGAGAACCAGTCTTCAGCTGGAGAGGCATGTGGCCCAGGAGGCAGGAGCATGAAGCCTGTGCATAAACTCTGGGTCTGCAGGCCTGGGCTCTAGTGCGGGCTCTGCCTCTGGAAGCGTCTGGGCGTCCCCCCAGCCTCACTTCCTCATCCCCAAGAGGTGTTGGTGGTACCCACTGTGGTGAGGTTGCCACGAGTCAGCGCACACAACAAACTTCAGTGCCATGCCCGGCATAGTAACCGCTCATTAAAGCATCATCTTACTTGCTGCATACTATCTCAGAATAAACACTGACAATGAAATTTGCTTAGAGCCTAATCAAAACATAAATGCACAATGAAAGCGAAGATGTTTTTTGAAAGTGTGTTCGTTTCACCCTCGGCACTGGAGAAGGGACGGCAGTAATCAAAAGCCAGCGGGATTGGTGTCTTTCTCTGTGCCTGGGGGACGCGGTGGTGGAGAGCACTGTGGCAGTTGACACGCTCAGCAGAGCAGGGCATGTCAGTAGTCCAGGGCTGGGTCAGAGTGAGCTGGAGCAAGCGATTACAGCCATCATTATGGAGTCGGGGCTGAAACTGGAAGGGCCTGGTGTGAGGGGTGTGCCCCCCGTGTGGCTCTGCACTGATTGGACAGTCTGTTTTCTAAGTCCATATTACTTGAATCCGGCCGAATTTATTATGTAACCATGTGTCTCAACATGAACTGCTTCATAAAATTCATTTGTAATATGTACCCCGCTAGTACTGAGTTTGATCCTGAAACCTGGCGGTCCTGTATGGAATGCCATTATTCTTTGCATACATTCTGACCTCCTGCATCTCAGGAGACTTTTTTTAATACCCAATCAAAGCTGCATTCCCCAGCGTGTTAAATGCTGTGGCTAACTTATCTTTCATTTTCCCATTCCATCACATTAGTTATTTCCAGCCTGTGCTAATCAGAAATCTCGGATTAAGTCACTCATTGTTTATATAAGTTGATCTCATGACGCAGGGAAAATAACACAGTGGACAAAAAGTATCTTGTGTATGTATTTGTCATTCAGTTGTGTCCGACTCTGTGACCCCATGGACTATAGCCTACCAGGATCCTCTGTCCATGGGATTATCCCAGGCCAGAATGCTGGAGTGCGTTGCCGTTTCCTCCTCCAGGGGATCCTCCTGACCCAGGACTCAGACCTGGTTCTCCTGCTTTGCAGGCAGATTCTTTACTTTCTGAGCCACCAGGGAAGCCCAGAAAGTGTCTTAGGGCAAGTCTGTTGCTATTGTTAGACTTTACCTGCCTATTTTTCCAGGAACATTAGGTCTGTACCTAAAGGACTCTTTGATTCATTTCCCTGGCTATAAGTAGAGAATTCAGATATGCAGTTTTGGGGGTTTTTATACTGATTGCTATCACTTCTGAGCTGTTGTCTCCCTTATCAGAGAGAAACAAATTTGGGTACATCATGTGTTTTCAGACTCTGATCAGAGAACTTTCTGAGGGCTTGCTCAGTTACTTGCTACCCTGAGCAAGTACTCTTCATTTTTTAAAAAAAGTAATTAATGTATTCGTTAAAATGTCAAGTAATAAACTATTTTCTATTTTCCATTTTCAGTCAGTTCTTCTAAAAAAGAAGCTTGAAGAGCATCTGTGAGTATAAAAACTGTTGCGGCCCATTGTTGGGGTGTCCAGAGAAGCAGAAATATTTTGTGTTGGTGGCTACAAAGCATCTAGGCAGGGGACCAGGTGGCCCTCAAGGCAGAGACGATCATGAGACATGTTAATAGTGACTGGTTTTCATGGAAGACAGTTTTTCCACGGACAGGGAGAGGGGGAGATGGTTTCGGGATGATTCAAGCACGTGACATTTATTAATGCCCCTGCTGAACGGATGGGAGGCGGAGCTCAGGTGTGACTGTGAGCAGCGGGGAGCGGCCTTAAATACAGTGAGACTTCCTCACCTCCTGCTCTGCCACCTGGTTCCTGACCAGCCACGGACGGGTGCCAGCCTGTGGCCCAGGGGTTGTGGGTCTCCTGGTCTAAAGGGTCATCTCCACCCAAGGTCCTTGAATCAGACCAGTTGCTGCATTAGAACTGTGTTCTCACATGAGCTTCCAGAGTTTTCTGTCTTCACAGTAGTATTTATGGTCCCAGGTAGGACTGTGTGACCCTCCGGATCAGGAGGCAGAAATGTTTCCTGTAAGAACAGAGAGCAGTTGCTTCAGGTTCTGCAGACCATGGTCTGGGCCACAGCCACTTAGCTGTGGTTCGAAGGCAGCCGTGGATAGTATGAGTGTAAAACCAGTGCCGTGACTATGTCCCCGAAGCTTTCTACGCTGGAACCGGCCTCAGGCTGAATTTGGGCCCCCTGGACTGCTCTCTCCCAGCTCTAGAGCCTGTGGCCAGCTGAACCTTCCTTTTTATATGAATGTTTTAAAGTATCATTAAGCTTGTCACGGTGGCAGCCTTTCAAAGACCTCCTTGCATTGCTAGCATACCCGAACACGACTTTTTAATCTAGAAGATTCCATCTTAAAATACGACATTTGTTTTCTCATGAAGAAGTGTCTGTCCCTCTTTATCGGAGGTTGACGATGTTAGGCATGTTTTGTGATTTCTCTCACACCTAGTATCAACTTTAGTCCTTCTATCTGTCGTACCCTGGCCGAACTCTGTCCTTAAAGACATTGAGTGTGGGTGGCCATGGGTTGCCAGCCTGGTGGAGTGTTCCATTGGTGGGCTGTGGTGAACCAGACACCCTGGGTACCTCAGAGCTCACGTGACATGTCCTGCAGGGATTGGGAAGAATTCTCCAGTCCGGCAGCTCGCTGTGTGCTGTCCAGATTCTTCTTTAATGTGGCAGAAGTGAGTGCTCCGAGCCACTGACAGTTGGTAGCAAGTCTGACCCTGGGCAGGTGCTTAAACTTCTGGAATAGCACCTGTCACCTCCCAGCCGCTGGGGGTTACCTGCAGTGAGAATTTCATGCTGAAGTCTGTCCTTTTGTCATTTCCCACCCCTTTGTTGCGGAAAATAGAATACCTGTTGTTTCATAAAACTACTACCTGACCATGGTTCTGTGTTCAGTCATTTACATGGTAAAAATCTTCGTCAAAAACACCTGATTAGTGAAGAGGAGGCCTGTCTTAGTTCCCCGTGGCTCCCGTGACAAATCAGCAGAAGCTGCAAGGCTGAACACAAGTCTTGACAGCAGTGGTCACGGTCCCAGGTAGGACCCTCTGGGCCAGGAGTCAGAAACGTTTTCTATAAGGAACGAGAAAGCAGTGGCTTTAGGTTTTACAAACCATAGTCTCTGTCACAACCACTTAATTCTGATTTGAGAGCACCCACAGACAGTATGTAAACCAAGGCCCTGTGTCCTAAAAGCTTTCTACACAGAAACAGGCCACGGGCTGAATTTGGCCCCCTGGGCTGAAGGTTTATATGAAAGAGTGACTTCTATCTCAGACTCTGAGATTTTTGTCTCTCTTTTTTAGTCGTTTAGAAAATATTAATATGTTGGTCAAGTCTTTTCATCTTTGTTTCATAGCATTTGTGTGCTATATGCTAGTGTATCCTAAGAATAAAGAACTTACCTCTTTCATTTCAAGCGAAGAAAATGCAAAACAGTAGTAGGTGACGCAGTTGTATATTTTGGTACAGAGAGAAGCTGCATGAAGCCAATAATGAGCTGCAGAAGAAGAGGGCCATCATTGAAGATCTTGAGCCAAGATTTAACAACAGCTGTGAGTTTTTCCTGATTATCAGAGTTTTCAGGTGGTTAGGCATGCATTACCCTCATGATAATGAGTTTATGTAAAATTTTGTACTTTTAGAAATAGGCCCTATTATATTTTCTAGCGATTAAGGAATGTGCCCTGTTCACAGAGAGCACAGAAAGAGTATGTGTGTGTGTGTGATCATCAGTACAACAGTTCTTAGATTTCTAGTTCCGTTGTGGTTTTTCCTTAACTATGAATGCTAATGAATATTTTATGAAGTTATTTTCATAGTGTAGTTGCAGTATATCAGCCAAACTATTTTCCTTTTATTAATATTTGCACATGTAGGTAACTTGACCATCGATCCTTTTGTGTGGAGGCGGGAGCAATACAAACTTTTACTTTTTTCATGTTGTGAAATATACATAACATAAAAAATGACCATTTTAACCACTTTTAAGTATACAGTTAAGTGACATGTTAAGTACATTTGCAATGTCACACAGCCACTGTCTATCTCCCGAACTTTTTCATCTTCCCAAACTGAAACTCTCTACTAATTAAACACCCGCTCCACACCTCCTGTCTTCCCAGCCTGTGGTCACCTCCATCCTGCTTTCAGTCCCTTGCATTTGACTCTTCTATACAACGCGTATAAGAGGAATCATACATTATTTGTCCCTTTTTGTCTGGCTTATTTCACTTTGCATAATGGCTTTCATTTTCACTTCATGTTGAAGCGTGTATCAGGATTGAAGCTGAATAATATTCAACTATTTATATACATAGACCACATTTTGTTATCCCTTTAGCCTTCAATGAATGCTTTTTATAATTTGTGTACTTCCATAGTATAGTTTTTATTTCTAAGAAAAGCTTTCTGTTAAAAAAAAAAGATTGTGAATTTTTAAAAATAAAATTATATATAAGAATAGACCAAACAATCTCTCAAAGCTGTTAACTATTTACTGTTTTGTCAGTTGAAGTATTTTTAAAGTTGTTATGGTCTTAAAAAAATTTTTTTTTTTTTAAACTGTCTCATCAATAGCCTTAAAAATTGAAGAATTACAAGAAGCTTTACGGAAGAAAGAAGAGGAAATGAAGCAAATGGAAGAACGATATAAAAAATACCTAGAGAAAGCCAAAAGTGTAAGTGTGAGTCTGCGAGTCTTACTGCTTCCCGATCATGGTTTACTGACATCTCGTGATTCTCATGATACACGCCTGAACCATGAGCTCTCAGACCATGAGGAGATGAACCGAAACGGTGCCCCACCCCCAGGCTACTTCCTCGTTATCAAGAGGAAAGCACCTTTCATTGTAGGAGAGGAGGGGCAGTCCTCACCTTGCCTAGTAGTTCAAGTTAGCTGCATGAGCAACTTCCCTGGTGATCCAGTAGTTAAGACTCCACACTTCCAAGGCCCGGGGACATGGGTTCGATCCCTGGTCAGGGAACTAAGATCCCACATGCCTCACTGTGCGACCGAAACAGAAGATTAGCTGCACGCCCTAGGAGACCTGACCTCTGCCTCCCGAAGAGCCTCAGCTGTGGTCAGCCCGAATCTAAACTGGCTTCCGGGCCTAGCTGCCAGTTCCCCGGGAGAATGAGGTTATTGGAACAGGTTAAATAAATTACCTTTAGAAAGTCATCGGATAAATCCAGATTTTTGGTTGAAAATCCATGTTATGACAAGTAGAAATAGGCATTGGAGTGGAGGGGGAGCCCAAGAAGTCTGTGTTAAAGGAAACGTGCTGTCACTGTTCTGCTCTTACAAGTTTTCTGTAGACTTGATCATTTTTCTGCAGGCTTGATTGGTTTTGACAGTAAACTGATGGGCCAAAAAGACCCCTCCTGGAAGCCCACAGGTGTCCCAGCTAGACCTGTGTCCCCCACCCGAGTCTAAACCCCAGCCTGTGGCAGAGGAGACTGTCACAGTGACAGGCGTATAGACATGGAGACCCATGGCTGGACTCACACATCTGGTCAGAGGCAGAGGTCTCTGAATCAGTTCAGAAGAACAGAAAAAGGAAGCCTGCCGTCAGTCATGTCTACTGTACTGTGATTGATGAATTTTAAGCCAGAATTACTTCTTATGATGGACTCTTTCACTTAATCTTAAACTTTTCTATAATTAAAGGTTGTAACAATGGAACATCATTTCATACATTCAAATTTTAAAGTATCCTTGTGAGATAGCTTTGGACTCTCATAAGGTTTATCCTTTTTTTTTTAAATAACTGCTGCCGTAGATGTCACACACTGTAGATTTGAGACTTAAACTTTTTTGTTTTATTACTTTCTGCAGGTTATCCGTACTTTAGATCCTAAACAAAATCAAGGAGCAGCACCAGAAATACAAGCTCTTAAAAATCAGCTCCAGGAACGGGACCGGCAATTCCATTCATTGGAGGTAGTTTTCTATATGATATGATAAGACATTTGATTTTTTTATTTTTGATTCTAGAAGCTTTGCCATGTCCAGTCTCCACATCTGCAGGGCACAGTTACCAAAATCTGTGGCTGCAAAGTCCCTTATAGACAGTAGTGAATGTGGTTATTTGCACACAGTCTCTGCACATCATCCATGTGCGCTAAACCATGTCCAGGTTAGTTATGCAAGGTCTTCACTGTTGCTCAGGCGGTAACGAATCTGCCTGCAATGTAGTACCTAATGCCGTGTAAATGCTATGGATTTTTTTGTTTGTCTGTTTTTTTCTATTTTGGAATATATGGCTTTTTGTTTGTTTTTGTCATTGTTAAGTCGCTAAGTTGTATCCAACTCTTTGTGACCCCTGACCTCGTGGATTCTAGCCCACCAGGCTCCTCTGTCCATGGAATTTCTCAGGCAAGAATACTGGAGTGGGTTGCCATTTCCTTCTCCAGGGGACATTCCCGACCGAGGGATGGAACCTGTGTTTCTTGCATTAGCAGGAGGATTCTTTACCACTGAGCCACTTGGAAAGCCCTGTGCTTACTGTTCTGGGTGTCGAGTTGGTTGACTCTGTGGATGCGGAACCTGTGGATGTAGAGGGCCAACTGTACAGTTGTGCCCGTGAATTTAGATGGGCGTGAATTAGATTTTTATTACTGTTGAATGTTTTTCATGTTTACATGCTTACATGTGTTTGCTTTTTAGAAAGAATATGAGAAAACAAAGAGTCAAAGAGAGATGGAAGAGAAATACATTGTCAGTGCCTGGTACAACATGGTAAGAAAATAACATGTCAAAACACTTTGCAAAGTTCAATGAGTGTGTATTACTTGTTACACTGCCTTTAGTGTAGAAGTCCTTCTACCGAATGAATCTGAAAGTAACTGCCATCCTAACACACACTGACAAAACCCTAATGCTGATCTTAGGGCCGAACAGCAGATACAAGAACCCATAAACGGGGTTAGAACACTGTGGGCACTGTCCTGAAGGATGGGAAAATTTCTGTCTCTCAGAACCATTTGTCCTTGGGCGTAGTGACTTCAGTCATGTCTAAACACAGATGGAGTAGGTTTTGTTTTGTGGGACTATTTCAGTGCCTTTGCAGGAGTGGTTCTTGTAACGAAGATAGTTTAACTGTCTCACAGGGTTTGGTAAATGTTCAGTGTGGGACCCTGAACAAATGCAGGTTTTGAAATTGAATTTTCCAATACACAAAAAATGTATGTATTGCAGGGCAAAATAAATGCTCACCAGCATTTTGACTTTCAGTAAGATTTTTCCAGATACGGAGAGCTATGGATTTTGAAGAATGCTGTACTTTTTTTCAATATTTTTTTTCCTAGACCTTTTCATCTTCTCTTTAATAGCTTTATTTCCTTTTGGGCTGCGTGGGGTCTTGGTTGCTGTGTGGGCTTTCTCGAGCCGCAGTGCGGGGTCGGGGGTCACTCTGTATTTGGGGTGCGCAGGCTTCTCACTGCCATGGCGTCTCTTGTCGCAGAGCACAGGCTCCAGGGCCCGTGGGCTCAGTAGTCGCAGTTCCCGGGCTCTAGAGCATAGACTTAGCAGTTGTGGCGCATGGGCTGAGTTGCCCCACAGTGTGTGGGGTCCCCGGACCAGGGCTCGAGCCCACGTCTCCTGCACTGACAGGCGGAGTCTTTACCGCCGAGCCACCCAGGGAAGCCCTTCTTTTTCCTCTTTGTTCTTCCCAACACGACCACTTTTGCCTTTTCAGGATGTGAGTTTAGTTGCCTGCGACAGATTCCTTTCCCCATACCCATTTGACCCTGTAGTTGTGTTCGTGACACAATACCATTTTACAATTACAATTGTAAATCATGCCATTTTACAGCTACTGTGTCTTAAAGGTTAGTGTCCCAGGTCTGCTAATAGTGTAATTTGAGCTTTTGTCAGAAATTCACACAATTTTGTGGCATGTCCACATTTATATTTATTTGCCTTGGTTAAAGCTACATATTTAAGATTTTATGACAATTTTAGAAAATAAAAGAGGAAATCTTACTGGATTTATGGTATCACTACTGTTAGTATAGATTAATTGAAAATAAAATGTAAAAAATAAGAAAAAACTGTATTTAAGGGAGGTCTCTGGGAGCTGGTCCTGATGTCACCTGTACTGGTTTCTCTTTGACCTCCTTCAGGGTGAGTGTAGCAACCTTGGAGCGCTGACCCTCAGTCCATACTAGTGATTTCATATAGGTGATTGATTTTCATGACTTCACATATTATGTTTCTTATGGAACCAAACTGATGTACTCTGTGACGTGGTATTTAAAGAAGAATCCTATTGATAGTTTTCAACTCTGCAGAGAGTGAAGGAATAACTCCCAGTAGGATCTCACAAGTTATGTTCTGATAAGATAGCTGGAAAAGCTTCATAGGGCTTCCCTGGTGGCTCAGAGGTAAAGGATCCACCTGCCATTGCAGGAGATACGGATTCAACCTGGGCCAGGAAGACCCCCTGGAGAAGGGAATGGCAACCCGCTCCAGTATTCCTGCCTGGAGGATTCCATGGACAAGGGAGCCTGGCGGGCTACAGTCCACGGGGTCACAAAGAGTCGGATGTAACTAAGTGATTAAAGCAACAAACAGCAGAAGCGTCATATATCCATTCAGAAAGTTCTGTATCTCAGACAACTGAAATGGAAGTGAAGGTGATGAGTAGCTTAGTACCTGGTGAAAGGTATTAAGTGTCTCAGAGAATGGCCTTGTGATGGACCCTGAGATCTTAAACGTGTGTCAAGAAATTGAATAAGTTGCTTTGATAATGAAAGTTTAAAAAAAAATAGGTATGTTTTAAATATAATTGTTAATATATGTAGGCAAATCAGTAGGTTAACTATTACCAAAAGATACTTGTCCATTTTCTTCAGATCCTTAAATGGTTTAGTTTCAAACTGAGTGAAAAACGCATCCTGGCTTTTCTCACTGGGAAAGTGGAGGATGTTGGGTCTGCCTCAAACGCTGAGCCCTGACCCCTGTTTCCGTGGAGCTGACCAGTGATGGGAGGTGCATCTTGTCTTCTGTGCTGGTTGCCCAGCTCCTCTGGGTGTCTCTCTGCCTCTCCTCCTAGCCCTGGTCCTCCCGCCTCCTCGTCACCAGCGTCCCCTTGCTCCCATCGTCTTGTCTGCAGTCACCGGCGGGAGGAGCCAGCCGCCCTCAGCTCCTCCCGTCTCTCTGGCCAGCCTTCTCTCCAGCCCATTCAGTGAGCACCGAGGCATCTTGCCCCATCTGCTCAGCCCATTCAGTGAGCTCCGAGGCGTCTTGCCCCATCTGCTCAGCCCATTCAGTGAGCACCGAGGCGTCTTGCCCCATCTGCTCAGCCCATTCAGTGAGCTCCGAGGCCGTCTTTCCCCATCTGCTCAGAGTGCTCACTGTGGGCTCCTCCCAGTTTAGAGAGGGCCGCAGGCTGCCTCCCTGCTGTTCAGGTCGTGGGCCCGTGGGTGGGCTCCTCTCTGTCCTCAGGAAAGACCCCTGCGCTAAGTGGGCCCTCTGCTGGGGGCCGCCAGGAGCTCCCCTTAACTTGAGAACACAAGTCTGCCTGGGAAGAAAAGCAGCGCGGTGGTACGTATTCACCTGGTGTGACTCTCCGCCTTCAGAAAGAACGAGTGCTGTGTGGTCTTCTGTTCACCTAAACCCTGTGATTTCCGTACCCTACAGAATCAGCCGCTACCAATCAATCACCCTTTTTCTCCCTTGGAAAATCACTTTATACATCTGATCTGAAAGGGAAGTGTGTATGATTTCATGTGGGTGATATAATTCCAGAGATCCATCTCTTATTATCTACCGTCCAGATTATTGTAAATTCAGAAAATTCAGCCTTCATTTCTCCACAGGAAGATTTGTACCTAATTGTTGGAACTAAAATATCTGTAAGACCTCAATCTGTAATGAAGAGAATTACAGATTAAATCGTGCCTTCTGGCCGCACGTAACAAATTCTGCATGATGGTTTTCCGCTGTGAGAGTGTGTTCCCGTTTCCTGATGACTTCTTTTCCCTGTGATGTAGGGGATGACTCTGCACAAAAAGGCGGCTGAAGACAGGCTTGCTAGCACAGGGTCGGGCCAGTCGTTCCTGGCGAGGCAGAGGCAGGCCACCAGCACGCGGCGGTCTTACCCGGGCCACGTCCAGCCGGCCACCGCAAGGTAGACGCGTCCCGCCGCTGGGGTCAGAACACCCGCGTTCAACACACACTTCTGTCACATGTAACGGCGTTTCAGGAAATTCAGCCCGCTTGTATTTCGTCTCTACTTTATGTTACCATTTACTCGTGTCTCATTTGAGGACTTTCTCTCTTCTATATCTGTAATGTTTTAGTTTCTCAGTCCTTTATTTTGTAGTCCTTTCAGTTCCTTTTAACGTGCCAAAAAATCTTTTTAAATGCCCAATTAAACGTGTTGTATATTAGTGTAGTACTTTTCTTTGTATGAAAATGTCCTTTCCCCAATGGTGTAGGCTTTGTAATGAATTAGATTTTCTGCCAAGAATTGATATACAATTTATATTCTTTATCGTGCCTCTGTGTTACCATGCTTTCTAAGAATGTCTTTGTTTAAAGGGAATTGATCTTTTTATGATGTATTAATCTGTGTTTTCAATTGTTTTCCAAATGCACTTCAGATGACTTACATATTTACTACATGAAATGGTTGGCAAGTGCACTTTTTGCAAAGACATAAATACATCGGCAGAGGTGCTAACCAGCTGTCACCGAAGGCCCCTGGGAGAATTATTTAGAGGGGAAAAAATGAGTTTTCACATTGTTTTATAGGAAATTAAATTTGTCTGAAGATTTGGAAACTATTTTTAAAACATAAATAGAATTTCATTATTTCATGCTATCTTGTTTGCTGGCAGAAGTGAATGTGTTGGTTAGGCTATTCAAGGAGAAATTACAGAAGAAAAAAATCAGGCAGTACATTCTTTTTTTTTTTTTTTTCTTGTTTTGGAATATCACAGTAACTGAGGATCAGATTCTTGCAATGGGGCTAACACTGAATTTCAACCACCCTCCATGTCTCAATGATTTATTTTTTATATAACTTACGAGTCACAGGTAGCCTTACCTTCGGGGTAATTCCCTTGCTGACTTGCACTTCATTTGTCTTATTCCTTAATATAGACCCTTCTGTTTCTCACTAATTCCTAATACTTAACATCTTTAATACCAGTCATTAAGATCAGTAAGTGACTTCCCGTGTGTGACGTTTATGACAGGTCTGTTTCTTAATTCTGTGGATGAGTCTAAGAATTGGCTGCTGAGTAGATTCTCTCTCTGGTATTTGGTTGCCCCGAAGTGCTTACATTTGTTGACAGATTATAAACTGTTTATTTACGTTGATGAATGGCTGTCAAGTAACAAGAGACTGTGAAGCACTTTGACTATATAAGGTGCTATATAAATGCAAAATATCATTCATTTGAACATGAAATGTCTCTGGCTCACTTTCCATATTGGTTTAAATATTTGGCCCCAAATTATATTAAATATATTCCCCTCCAGCCTTTCTCTCGCACCACAGTCCATTTTTTAAAAGCAAAAATTTACTGAAATTAGGTTGATCATTTGTTCAGTTTTGGTTTTAGATAGGTTACCTATTAAGAAGATTCTATTTCATGTACTTGCTGTTTGGAAGTTCAGGTTTCATTTAGTTTTGTACATTAAATATAAATGAGTAACTTTTTTTTTTAATGAGTAACTTTAAATCAAGCTAAATGTACCTAAGAATTCTCAGAAACTTTATTTGGATGTCTGATTTTAAATCCTTATTTCCTTTTTTAAAGAAAATGGTGTTTTCATTTGTCCTCAGAACCTGTACCTGGAGAAGGGTATTAGAATGTATGCAGGAGTGACTCCATGCCTTGAGCTAATTTTTTACATTAAGTACAGAAGTCTGAGCTCAGTGTGAATGCCTCCGCCTGCTAAGAAGAAAAGCAGGAGGAGTTAGTAGGAAAGGACAGAACCACGTGAGTAGGTGCATCCTGGGGCTTCTGGAGGCTGGGCAGACCCAAGCACATGGAATGTGTTGACAATAAAAGATTAAAATCTAAGATGGTTCAGCCTCGCCCACCCCTACCATGTCCCATCCCCTTATTTCACAAATTATAGAGAACAGATCCAACTGTTTTAAAATAAGGCATGAACACTAACCTTGGTAAAATTGAAATTACTGGTAAATACACCAACAGAATAAGATAGACTAAAACCAGAGTCCCTGAGCTGTTTCTTACGTGGATTCTATCCCAAGAGATGAGGAGTCTTCCTTTTAGTTCTCTATTTACTAGCCCCGTCCTGGCCTCCTACCCACCCACCTACTCAGATTTGTTTCTCTGCATGGGAAAGTGCCAAGCTCCTGGAAAGAAATTTTCCATCCCATTTTTCTTCAGCATCCCATTATTTTGGTGTTTACATTCATAACCTTCACTCACCTTTACAGCAGGCTTAAGTTTTAGTATATTGCTTTCATTCCACAGCAGAAATGTTATTTCTAAACACTGTGTGATGTTTTTTGAAAAGCAGGAATAAAGCTGCACTGTCCCAGTGAGAACCCTGCTTCCTTAGCCCAGCTTTTTGGGCAGGGTTTGATGAATTTCTCTTTCCCCAGCGATGATTATTAATCTCTAGGAGGTTTGTGCCAATGCACAGTCTCTCTGCAAGTTGCGAGACAGTGGGCGCCTCACGTAGGCGGGAGCTGAGCTGGGCCGTGCTGGACAGATGCCCACGCACAGTGGCTCTGTGAAGCCCGTGCTCCCTGGGGCAGTGAAGCCAGTCCTGACGCACCATGGAGTCAGCACAGAGTCACTGCGTTAAGGGTGGGACAAGGGGTCACCCCAGGTCTGAATTCTTCTAAACAGAAACCTTATTTTCTGTTTTCCTTCTAACCAGGGTGAGAAAATACAAACTTAGTAACGAAAGACCACAAAAGTATAAATTTTATATTCTGCAGTGTGTATTTAACAAGTTTGTAATGGGGGGAAAAATCCAGCAAATATTATAGTTTACCACATCTTTAAAAGAGAATAAAAAATACAGTTGTACATATCTTAAGAGAACTCATACAAATTCCATCATATCTTTTTAGTATTTGTCTGATTACCTAATAACCAAGAAAAAAAGAAGTCCCAAAAGAAAGGCTCCATTTTCTTTCTTTTTTTTTTTTGGCCACACCACGTGGCATGTGGGATCTTAGTTCCCCAACCAGGGATTGAACCTGTGTCCCCTTCATTAGAAGCAGGAGAGTCTTAACCACTGGACCACCAGGGTAGTCCCAAGACTGTTTTCTAAACACTGATCAGAATTGAATTATTTCTGTTTGATAAAACTGGCTAGTGAGATGATTTCATTATAATAAGGATGATATTGTCAGCTGTTGTTTTGTCTGTGTAGTAACAGCTCAACTGCATAAACTTAAGCTAAATGTTTCCAGTCAGAGGCATCCGGCCACATCGATCAGCAGGCCTCAGGAAGGCATGCGAATCTGTGCTGTTACAGACAGACCAGCAGTCAGATGTGAAGGGAAGTGGGGTTTAAGTTGAAAGAGAGGTACATTTTTATTTATGAATTCTTTTACTCACACTTCCTTCTCAGTTGCAGTTTTATTTATTCACATCTAATGATAGAAGATATTTTTTGGAGTCTCTTGCTCTCTGACCAACATTCATCTTTTAAAGATAACAACACGCTGTTAAAAGTTTGAAAATCTATCCTGATATAAGAATTGTCTTGAAGCAAAATTCTAAATTTTTGAACTTATCCTGACTTCCTACATTGAATCTCCAGTGGTCCAGATCTCAGACTCCAGGAGCATTAGAACTTTCCCCAGTTGGAACATGTGAGGTTTATCTGACAAAGCACTTGTAACCCGGATAATATAAACCTCGTTAGTTTAGAGCCACCCAGATAAGAACGTCTGTGACCCTAGAGGGAGAAGACAGTGCTTGGCATTTTGCTTTTTTTAGCTGAGAGCAAAACAGCAACATGAGTTTTGTTGTCTGTTCCTTAAGCTGTGGACGCATGTTTTGACTTTTTATCCTCAAATTACAAAGTGACTCTGCCTAGAAATGGCTGTGGAACTGATGGAGGGGTACATTTCTCAGCAGTGACGTCTGTGTGGTACCCCGCAGGGTAGGAACAGAATAAGAGGGGATCTCAGAATCTTTGAAAATTATTTTTGCATGCTTTTTCCGTTTTCTCCCCCCCCCCTTTTTATAATGATCATCTCTCTTCCTCTAGTTCCAACTGTCAAAAGGGCAGCTCATTTTAGTAGATGTAGAGGCCAGTTTCACTACATTTAGAAAGCAGTTCCCAAAAAAAAAAAAAGCAGTTTCAGAGCTTATTCTTTGTAACTATGATGATTCGAATATTTTGTATCATGACGTTTTTATATAAGGGAGGCTATTCTCTGTTTGTCTCATCGTTTTTTACTTTCTATAAAGCGTATTTAAATAATAATTGGTGTATGTTCATTTTATTGAAAAATTTGAAAATGTTTTAGTGAACAGTTTAAGCACGGTAATATTATTGTTCTTAAGTTGTGCAATAAATAATGTTTATTTCTCAGAAGCCTAAAAAACATAAAATAATTTGCTACTGACACAGCTGCCCCTCCCCATCCCCCTAAATCGTGGAAGTGTCAAAATTTTGCTCCTGTTTTTCATAAAGTGAAGGACAGGGCAAGTGTGATGACCTCCATCTCTTTTCAGTCACTGATTATGTTCTTGAGAAATATGTACCAATAATTTGTTTTAAAACAGCCTTTTATCAACCTAATTTCCATGTATTTATAAACATAAAAGCTTTAAAATTTGTATTTAATATTATCCTGAAATATACTTGGATTCTTCACACTGCACTTAACGTGATAGAGAAGGGACATTACTTGAGAAACAAGAGACCTGAATCTAGTTATGGCAAGTATATGAGTCTGGCAACTGCGGCCTGACAATGCTTCCCAAGAATTCTGTTTCAGCAATTATGCCTCTCTTGTGTACTTTTCTGCCTTCTAACATTTTCCAATAATATCCTATGAAATAAGTTTGTATGCTACATGTAAGAGAGCATAGAACTCTGAGAAAGTAATCTAAGGCTGCCAAGGCAGATCCATTCCTAGAGAGTAGATCGATTATTGGCAGATGAAAAGACCTAATTATAAACAAGTATCCAGGCAGATGGAAGTGCTGACACCATTCAACCTACACTTGGTCTTAATACTAATACTAAAGTAATAGTTTACATAAAGTCTTCTGACTTTATGGTCATTCTTTACATGGTCATTTTGTTAAAAAAAAAGTAGACAAAAATCATTTATTTTCTAATCATCCTTCCTTTCAGTGGGTACTCACTGGGCACAGATTAACAGTACATGTTTGTGAGTGGAGAGGAAAGCATCAGTTTTCATCTTGAAACTGGTAATCCATTACTCACTCTAAACTAGATCTTTAAGACTGTGAAGATAGGATGGTGTGATGAGATGAGACATCTCTGGTGACTGAAACTCACTACCAACTCCCTAGCAGTAACCTGGCTCTGCTGATGTGTGCGGTTTAAAAACCGTACGCTCAGTTTGATGTCTGCCTTAATTACACACAGTGGCCCCGCAGAAACTCTTGTCTAAAGTGAAGGCAAGAGTAGACTTCCTATGTGCATATGTTCAAGGGGAGCCTTTGTGTACCTGGCAACATGACTGCCAGGCTCTGAACTAGGTGTTCAGGGTCTGATGATGAAATCATCAGACAAAGTGTGTAGGTGGCCTTGGAATGTAAGGACGATGGGGCTATCAAATACCCTAAGTTATATCGACTCAGAGCTTAAAAGGCTAAGTAAGTATCATGAGAAGAGCAAGCTCAGAGTGAGAAAAATCACCAAAGCATGCTGAGGCTTTAATGCATGTGGGAGACTTCTGAGCAGTCATCATTGCTTTAGAGATCTCTTAACTGACAAAGGAAAATAATTAGATTAGCATTGATAACTATAAAACTTATAAAAGGGACTCGTGTTTATTCTTGGTGTAATTTGTCAGCCTGTGGACAGTTATTACTGTATATACATTCTATATATGTAGAATATATATAGTGTGTTTATTTTATATATGTCACTATTAGAGTTGAATGTCTTAATATTATTTACTACTTCTACTCACTTATGTATTATTTATACTTTACTGCAAGACTCACAGCACTTTACTTACTAACATTAGATAAGTTTTTCCCTTCTACCTTTCTGTGGCATTTTCCATGTACATCTTTTCCACTGGGGTTCTTTTTCTTGTTTTGGAAGGCCACTAAGACAGCCATAAAAGATCGCCCAAATAAATGGGCTGTGCTCTCTTGCTGAAATGTTTAAAGTCTGATCTGAAGTTCTGAGTCTAGAACTCTATCTGAAGCTGGCTTGGGGCTGCGAGTCATTAATTATATTTTATATTTCATGTTAATAAGACTCGTGAAGTTAATACTTACGAAGCCAAGGTCTCTCACAGACACACTTTAAACTCCTTGTTGCTTGGAGTTGCATTAATAAAAAGTGAACAGTCTTCTGGTTCACCAGAAGATGCTCTCACCTTTCATTTACCTGTCTCCTAAAATACAGACTGGCAAACTCTCCTTTACTTTCATAGTTTCTTCATCATTGCATGTACTCAGACACAGGAGAAAGAAAGCCAGACTCCAGGAGCTGTGATGTCCAAGAATCTGGAAAATGCTGGGATTGAGGTGATGGCAAAAAAGCAGATACTAACCATGGCAGGATGCAACAAAAGTGGTCTTAGTTCTACTATAACATATGCCTTATGAACTTAGCCATTTTCTTAAGTTCAAATATGGCAAAGTTTCCAGCTTTTTTCTGTTGAGAGATGTTTTGTGGAGTCAGGACTCTTTTCATTTGTACTTGAATATATTTGTATTCAAATCGTGGTCAAAACGTACTGAAATATTTGTTGTTACATAAACATTAACACAGTGATTACTGCCAAAGAACAGGGAGATATGCTCGTTAAGAACATTCTCGTAAGAGTTTTGTCTTATGTTTAGATGAGAGAAGTGCTTTTAGAGCGTGAATAGTTCTGCAGTGCTTGCTTCTATGTTGCCCTCTGTTCTGCTGATGTGCTTGGCGTAGGCAGGTCACCTGGAAGAAAGCAGCACAAATAGAGAAGGCTGGACTCTAGCCTGTGAGAGGAGAGCCACTTCTTATCCTCCCAGAGTGAAAACAGAAATTAAACACACAGTCACACTCACACATGGGGACAGAACGTTGAATGGATCAATCATCTTCTACACGTCTTGAGCATCCTTTGGCTTCTTGCTAATCTAGTTAAGAGCAGATTCTAGACCTGCATTGTCCAATCCACTAGCCAATTCACAGCCACATGTGCTGGTTTAAATTCAAGTAAAATTAAGACTCCGGTTCCCCAGTCCCCCAGCCACATTTCATCAGAGGCCACCCGTGGAAAGCAGTTACTGTACCAGACAACATAGATCCAGAACGTGTCCATCATTGAAGAAGGCGCTTTTGACATTTGGTGCCCAAAGAGAGAATAAGGACGAAATAAAGACGTTCAGTTAACTTATGATACACTTATAGATTTTTCTGGCATCATTAAAGAAAGGTATTTTTTTTTAAATAAAAATTAATACCAGCCCTTTGTAAAGACTTTGAAAAATCAAAACCCCATTCTTTGAAACTAGTTTTCAATATATTTTTTTAAACAGTCTTAGCACTTTACTTTTTAAGTGGTATAATTAAGTAACTTCATAAATCATAACTTAGTATCTTCAGGTTCTTCCCTTTTTTAAGTAGTCTTTTAAAATTGATGATAGTTTCTAACACTTATCCAGCAGAAACTGATGAATGCTTATTTATTTACAAGTAAAAGTTAATAGACATCATAGTCCACTATTCTTTTAAGTCTCTATTCTGTTTCTTTTACATCTATATAGATCTAAGGAGATTTGCCAACAGTTTTTTCATTTCTGCCCCCAAAATCACATTTGATCATCTTTCACCTTAAAGGCATATCAAGATCCAAATAGTTTCTTTGATTTTCTTCCTAGTCTCTTGCTCTTAACTACTTAGGTTATGAATCAAGTTAAGTTTCATGTATGAAGCAGATTTTATTCCAGCAACTTAGTTAATGAAACTTTTTTTTTAAGATTTATTAATTGCCTTGGCTTATTACTAAAGCGCTTAGCATGACTCAACAGATCTATACAAATGCATCTTTGAATTTTTTAATGAATAGAAGAGACTAATTGCAACTCTTTGGAGTCAGCTTGGTATTTAGTGAGAACTGTACTGTCAGAAAGTCAGATACTTTCCTCTGCCTTTTCAGTCTTTTTAATCAACTGCAGACTTGATCCAGTAGTGTCAAATTACAAACAACTGTAAAGAAATTCTTATTCAAGTACAGATGAGCACATGGCATCATGTGAGTTTATTATTTTTTGGTGGCCGAATTTAAGTGTATATTCTGCAGAGACTCATATTCTTAGTTAAGGGAAGTTTTCAAGATGCTTGAAATAAGAAAGAACATGCTAGTATAAATACAGGAAATGACTGTACACAAATGCCAATCAATGATTTGGGGCCTTTTAATTTTTTTTAATAGTCTTAGTTATTGAAAATTCAGATGCACTAATATGCCGTTGCTGTCACTAACTTTGCTGTTTACAGATTATATGTAATTCATAATGCTTTGTGCTCAGAAGAATAATTTCCAGGTTTAATCTTGTTTTGCAGTTTTGTGTTTTGAAATTTGCCCCACCATTTATAACACCCAATTTTTGGTTGTGTAATGAATGGTAAAATTCAAACATATCTAGCAGTTTAATAATTTGCCTTATTTCAGTTAACAAATTCTATCAAAGATTTGGGGATAGAGGCTTTTTTCTTTTCCTACAGTATTTTTTAAACTTTTCAGACGAGCTGGAAAACACTTTAGTACATTAGAGTTGGAGTTGTATTGGTTACAGTCCCAGCTCTATGGCCTTATACTCATGTCTTAAGTATTACTGATTGTTCTATGAATTGTTAGTTTGATATTTGACATTGTAGTTATCCACCTTGCAGTTTAGCCTTTGCAAAAAGGATATTGCTAGGTATGTTCTTATTTCTGGTTGATTATTGAATTTGTAATTTCACAATTTCATTCTGAGTCATTATAATCCCAAAAGGAAACCCATGTAGGACTAAATTTTTCACCTCACAAATGAATCAGTGCAGTTTTAGCAACCTCATACATAAATGCATCCAAGCAGTGTCACACCTGTTTACCAGTCATTGACTCTGTTAGATTCGTGAGTTTTCTCACTGTTTCTCTGAGGTAAATGACTTGTTAGAGAGCCTCATTAAGAAATTTTCACCAAAATCACAAAAACACGAAGTCCAAGAAATCACCAGGAGACAGATTTTTAATTTTTTAAACCTTATATTGTATTTCCTTTTGATGTCACTTATTCATTTTAATTTTATGACTGCCAACTTGTTATGGTATTAATTATATGTATATGTTTATATGTATGCATATAATATATGTATATGTATATGAAGAATAAAGTTAAGATTTGGTCAAACTATATTTTCCCATTCAAGTACAAAAATGTTTTCAAGGCTGCAAAAAGTGTACAGTTGTTAAACAAGTTGTAAATAAAGACTTGTATAAAAATTCAGTTTAGATTATTTTTTCTTCTCTTAAACCCTGACACAGACACATTTAATAATTGTCTTAATAGTATTCATCCACTTGCCATAGTGTCCTGTCAACTTAGATATTATGCCACTGACTTGCTGTAAATCGGGAATGTTCTTTGAGCTTTTTCCCAGTACGTAGGATGGGTTTTCTTTTGATTTAGGCTGGGACCTAGCGTGTGTAAGTTGATTGTCCGAAGTTCTGAGGGATGAAAGGTAAACCTAGCTTCTCCCCTCTTTGCAGACAGTCCAACAGGAACCATGGTAGGTACTTACCTTCTTTCACGATATATTCTTCTTGAAGCATCCTGTTTAGGCCATGGGGCTTCCCAGGTGGCTGTGTGGTGAAGAAATCACCTGCCAGGCAGGAGATGTGGGTTTGACCCCTGGCCCAGGAAGATCCCCTGGAGGAGGGCATGACAACCCACTCTAGGATTCTTGGCTGGGGAGCCCCAGGGCAGAGGAGCCTGGCATTGACTACCGTCCACGGAGTGGCAGAGTTGGACACAACTTAGTGACTAAACAACAGCAGCACCCAAGTTTAGGCCACAGATGCCCCTTTTCCTGCCTGTAGACCTTTAAAATTCAGGTGAGGGTGTCCGCCACGCCCACCCTCCCCATGATTGAACTATGGCTTGTTCAGTGTTAAGTAGATTGTAGCAGGGCTTCCCTGGTGGCTCAGAGAGTAAAGAATCCACCTGCAATGCAAATACCAAAGTGAAGTTAGTACCAGGATTAAATACAAACAAACCAACCCTGTTATGTATGCCAGAATAGTGCCCATTTTAATGTGCATTTAAAAACGACATTTTAGTGTCAGAAAGCAAAATGTAAGTGTTCTTCCTTCACCAGCGTGGAGCAACCATATTAAATTTAGCCTTTATTTAGAGTGTCTGCACTGAGGACTGAATATTGAAGCAAAGGGGAAGGGAGTGAGAAGGTAGGTTGAATCGCAAAACTGGAAGCAAAATATATATATATATATATTTGCCTTCAAACAGCCGTGTGATCAAATGGGGGCCAACACAGGAAAGTTACCACCTAGCGTGGTCCAGCTGGAAGACCCCGGCTGGCCGTGAGGATGGTTCGCGCCATCCAGTCATCCCTGCTGCACAGAGCACGTGGCTTTGGCGATGCCGTGCCCTCCCCGGGGCTGGGACAGGCCCAGCCACTCTCCATCGGAGCCCCTCTCTCGCTCACGGTTCTGGTGACGGCCACGGCTAGGGTTGTCTGCAGACTGATCTCCCCTGTGTGGCACCCAGACTGGGGTGCACAGGGCACACGGGAAGGATCAGACCTCTCCTCACGCAAACTCCTGACGTGGCCAGGGGGACCACTCACTCGGTGGAGTGTCGGAGGAGAGGGGCTTGCTTGACGCAGCTGCTTCCCCCAAGCAGGAGGCCTGAGAAACCCGAGAGAGAGCTCCAAAACTTGTCAGGACCCAGCCTCCGAAACCGCAAGCATCAGTTCTCCTTTGTCAGGATTGTCACGGACTCTACCAGGTCCAAGGGGCTGACCCTCCACTTCGCAGTTACTCTAGCTGCGTTGTTCTGGAGTCAAAGATCAGGAAGACTGTTACTACAAAGGTCATACTCCTGAAGTCAGAATATTTTCCTGTTTTTTAATCCCCACGCCAAATGCACCCCCAGGGCTGCAGAACCACCAGGTATGTAACTAAACCTGTGAACAACACCTGCAAAGCTTGAAGCCACAAAAAACACTCAGACTTCTTTGGACAGGTATCTAGTTGTATGTGAAAAGTCATAAAGTGTTAGTTGCACAGTCATGCCTGACTCTTTGCAACCCCATGGACTGTAGCCCGCCAGGCTCCTCCATCCATGGGATTCTCCAGGCAAGAATACTGGAGTCGGTTGCCACTTCCTTCTCCAGGGGATCTTCCTGACCCAGGGACTGAATCCCGGTCTCCTGCATTGCAGGCAGATTGTATGTAACATGAGCTCTAAAATGTTTCCACTCCCTACTTTGGCAGTTACCTTCTGGGATGATATTTTAAGAAATTTGCCCAAAATATGAATGCTTCTGCGTAGTGATGAACTGTCCGTGTTCCTTGCCGAAGTCCTCCGTCTGCACGGTGGCTCCTCCTAAAGGACACGTGTTCAGACATCTCCCCCACGTCCCAGGCTGGCATTGTCAGTTTTTCCCACTCTACTGAATCCTTCCTGTTAACATACAAGCATGCTCCCTTTTCTCATATCTCCAACCTGTCTTTATTAATGAATTGTTGTTCATTTTTAAACTGTATTTTTAAGTGTGCAGTTTAATAATTTTTGAAATGTATAACATGATGAACCCATCAACGATCAAAATAATGACCACTTCCGTCACCCCAGAAGGTTCTCTCAGACGCCCTGGTGATCTTTCCCGGCCCTCCAGCTCCCCTCCATCCATCCATATCTCTGGACGACACCTCTGCTTTCTGACACTGTGGCCTGTTCTACATAGTATACGCTTCTGTGTAAATGGGATCCTGCAGTGTGTACTCATTTTTATCTGGCTTCTTTTACTCAGCATAACTAGAGGTTTATCCATATTGTGTGTATCCATAGTTCTTTCTATTGCTGAGTGGTATTCCATTGTGCAGATATGCTATGATTATTCATTCGCCTGTTCATTTTATTTGAATGTTTCCAATTTGCGGCTATTCCGAATGAAGCTCTGTTTGGTTGTGGGATTCATTTCTCTTGGTTAAACACCTAGACTGGAACAGCTAGGTTACAAGTGATTTAGATACTATATTTATACATATTACCAATTTTGACTTAATTTTTTTATATGGTGCAAGTGCGAGGTATGAATTGTAGGAGTTTTTGGTTTATTTGGATAGGCATATAGAATGATTCAGCAGCATTTGTTGAAATTATCTTTTCTCCACTGAAATGCATTTTACACTTTTGTTGAACATCTGCTGTCTATATGTGTCTTATTTCTGGATGTCAGCTGTTACATTGATCTGTCTTGACAGCAGTAATACCCCATCTTGATTATTGCAGCTTTATAAGAAGTGTTGAAACCACACAGTGTAAACCCTCCATCTTTTTCGTATTTCAAAGTTGCTTTAACTGTTTAGGTCCTTTGCATTACTTACCATATGAATTTTTTCTTATTTTTTGGTGTTAGTTTTTCCTCATACTCTTTATTTTTTCCATTTTGTTTATTATTACCTGGCCCCACTATACAGCATGTGGGGTCTTAGTTCCCAAGCGGGGATCAGAAACCTGCCCCTGCAGTGGAAGCACAGTGTGTTAACCCCTGGACCACCAGGAAAATCCCCCCGTATGAGTTTTAAAATCAGCTCATCAATTTCTACAGAAGAAAGCCTGCTGGGATTTTGATTGGGATAGTGTTAAATCTATAGATCAGTTTGGGAGAGTTGACACCTTAATATTAAGTTTTTCATCCACAATAAATTAATTTTAAAAAAAAGTTTTTCATCCGTTTATTTAGGTCTTCCTTAATTTCTCTCATCAATGTTTTATAGTTTTCAGTGTACATTTTTTCATATCTTTTTTCAGATTTATCCTAAGTATATATGTCATATTTTTGATGCTTTTGTAAATAGTATTATCTTTCCATTTTAATTTCCAGTTCCATGCTGACACATAGAGATACATTTGAACTATCTCTTGGTTTGCTTAATTTTCTTTTATTTTTTTGGTTTTGATTTCTAGTTCATTGATACCTATTCTGATATTTATTATTTCCATCCTTAAACTTAGTCTTAATTTGCTCTTCTTTCTCTAATTTCTCAAGGTAAAAACTGAGGTAATTAGCTTGAAACCTTTCTTATTTTCTAATACAGACCCTTAATGCTAAAAGTTTCCTTCTCATTACTACCTTAGCCTCATTGCAAGGTGGATTCTTAACCCCTGGACCACCTGGGAAGCCCCTGCCTGTCCTTTGAAGCTCTAAAGCCAGGCGCTGACTTCTCTCTAGCTACGGAAGTCCTAGATGGCATCTGCTTCCAGTCGAAGACTGTTTTGTCTGCACGGAGTATCTGTTGTTCAGCAGAGCCACCTTCACGAATTACCTTAGCTAGATCTTCTGGTAACTTGCTGCACCTTCTGTATCAGCACTTTCTCATTTTTATGCTATACAAATAGCTTCTTTCCTTAAACCTCAGGATTAAACCCTGCTACTTCAAACTTTTCCTCTGCAGCCTGCTCACCTCTCTCAGCCTTCACAGAATTGAAGAGAATTAAGGCCTTACTGTTGATTAGGCTTTGGCTTAGGGGGATGTTCTGCCTGCTTTGATCTTCTATCCAGACCACTAAACCTTCTCCATGTCAACAGGAAGGCTGTTTCACTCTCTTTTCATTCATGTGTTCACTGGAGGAACACTTGTGATCTCCTCCAAGAAGCTTTCCTCTTCATTCACAGCTTAGCTAACTGGTACAAGAGGCCTAGCTTTTAGCCTGTCTTGGCTTTCAACATACCTTCCTCACAAAGCTTAATCATTTCTAGCTTTTGATTTAAAGTAGATGTATGACTCTTCCTTTGACTTAAAACTCTTCCTTTTACTTAAACAGAGATCAATGTACGGTGCTAGCTGGCCTAATTTCAAAATTGTTGTGTCTTGGGGAACCAGGAGGCCCGAGAGGTGGGGAAACAGCCAGTTGATGGAATCAGAACACACACATTTATCAATTAAGATCCCTGTCTTATGTGGGCATACTTCGTGGTACTTCAACAGTGTTTTAAAACCTGATATATATATATATATATATATGTATCACCAAAGATCGCTGATCACAGATCATCATAACAAATATAATAAGAGTGAAAAAGTTTGAAATATTGTGAGAATTACCAAATTGTGACACAGAGACACAGACTGAGCAAATACTGTTGGAAGTACGGTGCCAATGGACTTGCTCAATACAGGATTGCCACACACCTGCAACTTGTGAAAAACACAGTATCTACAAAGTGCAATAGAGCAAAGTGCAATAAAAACGAGGTA